AAAATAAATCATTTTATTGGGGGCTCTTACAGCTCTTATAACATTCCATACATCCATTGTTGTATCCCTTGTTGTTCCTACTTTTTACTGTGCAATAGGTAAATGTCTACAGAGGAGATCATCAGTTTCACATGCAATACTAGTTCATACACATTTTGTTTCCACTCATCCATTGCCATCTCCTCGATGTACCACTGCTTTTCTCACTTTCTCTCAGTTTCCCATTTCCATCCCTTCTTTCTTAACCCTCTGAACTTTGTCCTTGGGTAAATGCTGCTCATTTCGTCTTAAGTTGTTTATAATTCTGACACGGAGGTGAGTTCCCTTCCAGATCTGCAGAGTGATTAAAGGCCCTAGTCTTGAGAGTCCCACTGGGCTGCCATCCAAACCAATAAGCCCTTGTCTTTTTTTGGGGGGGCCTATGTCTTTCATGACTTTCATTTCCATTCCACATTCTCCTTCCACGCAGAACCTCCTACTGTGATCCTTTTCAGAGCAGTTGGTCATAGAGGCTGATGTTTGATTGATCCATTTGTCCATTAGACGGGTTTTCTCATCTGTCTTTTGATTTTCATATTTGCTCCAATTGGACAAGGAGAAACCAATAGTTGCACCGGAGATGGCTGCTCACAAGCTTTTAAACCCCAATCTAGACGACTTTTTTTTTTAACACCTAGCGTGGGAGAGGGACTCGCTCATTATGAATCATATGTAAGAAATTCCCCAAACACGAGAAAACAGATAAACACCACAAAAAGTTAGAAATGTCCCCTATAGGTAGAGACTCTCTTGTCTTCTGTACAGATCTGGGTCACAGACTCATTTCATTCAACTTAGAAAGCTATAAACTAAAATTTGTTGGCCTCTCTTTCCTTCTATTATTAAGATCAGAAAGTACACTTAGACAATTCCCTTTTTATTGTAGGAAGGTAAAAATTATGACATCAAAATCCAACAAGTTTACATTGTTGGGTTAGAAATATAATAGAGCAAATAAGGCTCTTTCACCCTTCCTGTGCTTCATACACTGAAAAACACAGAAAGACACATAAGGAAGAGTCAAGAGGTATGAACAATAACAAAATACAACAGAGATTAACCTCAGTTTGCAAGAAAACAGAAAACATTAAAAACTAGTGCAAACTCAAAATGTGTCAACAGGGAGATCAAATGATAAGATACTGGGCTTGACTTTGCCTTTACCTTTGTGATAAAGCACTTTCCAATGCTTTTCTGTATAACAGTAAGGCCACTCACACATCCCTGGTCTATGTTCAGAGGGAATTTGCCAGAGGCTTCATCTACATGTATTTCCTCTTCACCGTTTTCCCCCTGAAGCTGTTAATACTTTAGATGTGCAATAAATAAATAAGTAGGCAGGGAAGCGGGATCAGATAAAATGTTACATTTTAACCATTCAAATAAATGGTTTCATCTTAATCTTCTAAAATCATCTCTACAATACACTCTG